TCCCGATCGAAGCCGCGCAGAACCCGGCGTTGGTGGGAATGGGGAGGGGACGGAGGTGTGGGAAGCGGGACGCGGGTTTTCATGGAGTGCGGGGTCAGGAGAGCGGCGTGTGTGAGAGACAGAGACACAGACAGACAGACAGACACAGCCATAGGGCAGGCTCCTTGCAATAAAGCCTCCCGGCTCCAGCCCACCGCGTGCAAAGGGAGCTCGTGTGCACGTGGCTGACCCGTCGTGCAGATGAGGGCAAGCCAGGACAGGGATTTAATCCTTGACCTGAAGCACCGGGTCTGTTTCCTCCTGGCTCTCTCTCTGTGTGTGCTGATCTGGGCATCATCTTTCCCGCACGGAGGGGTGGGTGGGGATCGTCCTGGAGGGGCGAGCTCTTCCCTCGGTGCTGGTGGTGGTGATGGTGCTGGTCGTACCCCGGAGTCCAGAACCGGGCACAGGACGCCCTCCGTGAGGTCCGGCGAAAAAGGGGCATCGGGCCGAAGCGCGACTTCCTTTGCTCTGGACGGGGCGGCGCCCGGGTCCTGCGAGGGCTCCCTCCGCGTGTCCCGGGAAACAAAAAAACCCGACGAGGCTCTTTTTTCACAAAATCTCACACTGACGTGAATCTGTCGCCTTTAAAGACGCCCCAAAGGGACGGATCCTGCCCAGGTTTCTCTTCAGCCACGCATGCCCCGAAGGGAAGTTGCTGTCGACGAGCTGGGAAATGTTCAGAGGAGGAAGAGAGCAAAATCGGCTTAAAGGCTTGGAGGACAAACCTGTGGTTTGTGGCGGGACCCAAACGAAGGGAGTCAAAAGTACAAAGAGAGAGAGAGAGAAAAAGGACTTTTCAGACGAGCGTTTGGAAGACTTTTACCTGGTTGAGGGTAAAATGGACTTCCTTGGAAGGCTGGAGGGTCTCTTGTCAAGGATGCTTCAGCGGTGGGAATTTGGCAAGGAGTCGAACTCAATGCCCTCTCTCTTCCTGGAGGTTCAACAAAAAGATTATTTCCAATAAGCAGAGAAATCGCCATGTTTTCATTTGTCTAGCAGGGAGCACCAAATGATTAGAATTCTTCTTGCGCCAGGAGACTCTGCCCGTGTGCTTTTTTTTGTGCACGTGTGTTTGCACACAGGCGCACAACTTCAGTCATTCTGGGAGCTTCTGCCACAGTCTTCCCCGTGCAAGGGTTTTGCACAGCTACCTTAATTCTCAGCACAACCCTTCCCATACCTGTGGTTGTGTGCCATCGAGTCGGAACTGACATATAGCAACCCCTAGTAGGGCTTGCAAGTTAAACTGATTTGTTTCAGGAGCGGCTTTGCCGGTTCCACCCCTTCAGTGATTTTTCATGTGCTGCAGCTGCCATGAAAGCCAACACAGTCCTAGGCGGCATCAACAGCGGGAGAGCACCAAGATCACGGGAAGTGATAATACCACTCTATACCGTGCGGGTAAGGCTGCACTTGGAGTGCTGTGTCCAGTTCTGGTCACCACCATCCAAAAAAAATACCCTGAGGCTCTGGAAAGGGTTGCAGAGAAGAGCAACAAACATGACAAGGGGCCTGGAGGCTAAATCCTATGAGGAACGACTCAAAGAACTAGGAATGTTTAGTTTAACAAAGAGAAGACCGAGGAGGAGAGATGATAGCCCTCTTCCAAGATCTGAAGGGTTGCCACAGGGAAGAGGGCATCGGTTTATTCTCCATTGCTCCTGAGGGGTAGGACAAGAACCAAGGGGTGGAAACTTGTTAGAGGGAGAGCCAACTTGGAATTAAGGAGCAATTTCCTGATGGTGAGAACCATCAAGCAGTGGAACAGCTTGCCTCCCGATGGGGTGGGTGCCCCATTGCTGAAGGTGTTCAAGAAAAGATGGGACAGCCCTCTGTCCGGGATGGTCTGAGGTCTCTTGCCTTGGGCGGGGGGTCAGACTAGACGACCTCCAAGGTCTCTTCCAACCCTACAATGATTCTATGATTCTGTGGAATGGCCATGGCCGCATTTTGCAAGAGAGAAAGAGAGGGAGATTTAATAGGAAAGACTGTTTTTAAAAAACAGTCTGTCTCTGCATAGACAACATGCAGGTTTTCTCCAGGGACAAAAACCTTCAAGTCCTGTGGCAGCCACTCTGGTCTCCTCTGACCTCTGTTTCCCTCCCTCCCTGTCTGGAAGTGGTGGCTCCTAGGAGGAGCCGAGCAGAGAGCCAGCAAGTGAAGCCCCCGTGGGGTGTCGACATGCCAGAAGCCACGTGTGAAAGTCCAGACTCTTTTGACTCACACTCTGGAAAAGTTTGTAAGGGTGGGGGGGGAGTAAAACCAAGTGGGAGAGAGAGAGAGAGAAGCAGAGGAGTGCAAGGGGGGGCATCAACCCTATCTGTGCTTTGAGAATCAAAGATGGCCTTTCCTGGCAGAGCTTCGCAGTCGCAATCCATCAGTTTTGTCATCTTTTGAAAAGAGATCCTGAAGCAATTAACGGGCTGGCAAGGCGAGGGCAGAGAGGCAGCCAGGCGGGAGGCGCTGCAGGGCGGGTGGGTGTTTTGAGATGCGGCTTGAGATCGAGGAGAAGCAGCGGCCGGGGCAAGGGCTCACCAGGCTGCCAACTTGATCATGTTCCAGACCTCCTCACCTTCTTGGACGGACCTTCGCATGTTTTGAGACCCTTTGAGGGAAGGCTCCGTGTTCTCTTTTCCAGGAACCAAAACATACCTTTGTCAGGAAAAGAAAAAATAAATGCGGGCACAGGAGATACCTTTATGGGACCAGTGGAGAACTTGGTACACAGCCTGGTAAAGGGGAAGGTTCCCCTTGACAATTTGTCCAGTCATGTCCGGCTCTAAGGCGTGGTGCTCATCCCCGTTTTCAGGCCATAGAGCCAGCATTTGTCCATAGAAAATCTTCCGTGGTCACGTGGCCAGCGTGACTAGATACGGAATGCCGTGACCTTCCCACCGAGGTTGTACCTATTTATCTAAGCTTCCTTTATTTTATTGGTTTTCTGTTTTATTTTCTTAATGGTTCAATAAATGTATCACCTGTTCCTACATTTATATGTTTGTCAGCATGAGAAAGTTATGTTTGTGCACTACAATTCCCACACTCTTTTTCTCTCTTTTTTCACGATTCCCACAATCTGTCTTATATGGCTACTGATTTCTACTCACAGGATGTGTTTAAGGATGGAACAATAAGGCCTGTCGCAATTGGTGAAAGTGAATTCTCCAATTACTTTGGAGAATTACATCATAAAAGTAAACCAAAAGAGTTATTTCAGTTTCAGGAACATTTGGGTCTGTTTAATATCAGTTTCAATGAAAGTGGCCAGCTTCCACACCTTTCTTTCAGACAAACCAGGGTACGCGTTTTCCTGCTGGTTACTCTTCCTTTCAAATAACAACATCTTTTTGTGTTTTTGCTTTTTCTTTTTTAAGAACTGCTTGAAATTTGGATGTTTTCTAGCTCCATGTCTGGGGATTTCATACAGATAAGCCTATAAATACCCAGTGTGGTGCACTGGATTGTGTGATGGACTGAGACTCTGGAGCCCTGGGTTCAAATCCCCACCGAGCCATGGAAAAACACCGAGGGGAGGGGAACCGGTAAAGCTGTTCCCTAAATACCTCACTTACCATGAGAGCCCTATTAGAGTTATTATAAGTTGGTTCTGACTTGACAGACCATAATAGTAGTCCCATTGTCTAGCTTCTTTTGCCATTTCAATTGCCACTTTTTAAAAAAGGAATTCAGACAAATCCAGATTTGCTTCTGACCCGATTCTCAAACCAATCAAATCTAATTCAATCTGGTCCAGGTCCCCCACCCCCCACTTCAGTTCATGACTTGCCCAAATTGATTGTGCAGCCTTGATATAAAAACGATGAGAAAGACCATCGGATGGTACACGTTTGGTTTGAATACATCCAGAGACTGATTTCTGCCTCTGTGTTTGTTCAAGGAAACAGGGCCAAGATCAGATCTAAGTGATTCCTTACAAAAACTAGCAAATGCGAAGAAGTCTGCAACGGATGTGTTTAGCTTGGACTGGGCTGGGAAGGGCTGCGAAGGTTCACAGTAGGCATGTGTTGAAATCCTCTGGTGATGAGATGTGCACTATGCCTCAGATCAGAAGAGCACCACCACCCCCATCTCCAGAGTTTGGAAAAATTATATATGTGGGCAAGAAGCCCCTTAATCCTCTAGCCAGCATGCTAGGTGTCCTGGTCTCGCAGGCCCAA